AATACACTGCTTGTAGCCCAATAACAGCAGTCCTTTTGGCGATGAGGGACCACATACATCCTCATCCCTCACTTTGTGCCAGGAAGCAACACCGAAAAACCACTGCTTTTCTTACTTTTAGCTCAACAACCTGACATGATATTGAACTCCCAAGGAAAAATGTCCACTACAAAAACATAATGGAAACATAGTACTGCATTCATACTGTCTGCAAAACAGTTTAAAAGCTACAGTTTTATCTTAGTTTTGGACCAGTCCGACAGTTGATTTCACTGACAAAGCACAAATACAATGAAAACAAAGAGCAAAAATCTTACTGGTATGTTGGGCTCTGCAAAAGTCTTGTCAAAATACTGAGGAAAGTTCTTTATGATGTATTTTGCAGCATTTCTCCCAGACTCCTTTGACAATGAATACAGACGCTGCATAGAAATAAGATAGAACAAGATGGAGAAATACACAAATTACAAGGCTGAGAACTGGAAGAAACATTTTCTTTAACAATGAACATTCTGATGGGATCAAATTACGCTCATGTAATTTTCAACTTACTAGAATCACAGGGACAAAATTCCAGATAAACATTGTGGTATTCATGCCAGTATAAGAATCTCTATTCTTTAAATGCCATTGTATTTTATTTCCTTGGTACTTAGTCAGGAGATGCAGTTCAGACATCTGAAATGCTGCACTACTACCTCAAGCTCAAAACCATCTCATTTTAGAAAGGAAATTCTGAAAGCAATCTGATACCACATTTTCTTTTGGAATCAAAACCAGGCTTCAGTTAGGTAAGAGTATTCACAGCCTAGACAAAGGCAGGAGGGAAGCTATGAAGGATGTGAAAGGAAATACCTACAGAATTAGCTGCATTTCTTGGCATCAGGAAAGGGTCATCCTGGAACATGTAATGAGCAGCAGTAGGATCCTGTAGAAAGAAGAGCACAGCAATGAAAAGTTTATAATTATGTGTACAGCCACAACACACTGCCTCATGGAATTTAAGGCACAACGAATTCTTCCATCATAACCATCACCAATGCATATTTTACAGAAGTTCCTCTTGTTCAAAAAGGCTTAGCCTGTTTGGGAATAGTTTAAAAATATTTCCATTTCACACACACACTTGCAGGCTAATATGGTGACAAAATGGGTCCTTCCTATAATAGATCAATCAGTAAATGCCCTGCAAAGTAGGACTCCAGTGTAACAGTCTTGGGAAGCTGATGGGACTTGGCAAATTTTGATTCAATTCCCAGAATTCAAACTAGATGAAATTTAAGAACAGAATCACAGCATTTCCAGGTTTTGCCCAGCAAGAGCACTCATTGCACTTTTTAAAGCCCTTCCGGACTGAGATTGGGAAGGACATTCTGGACAAGCTGAAGGAACTTACTCCCCATGTTAGTGAAAGCCTTACCAAGGCACTTGCAGCTCTCTCTTAGCACATGAATGAGGCTTTAAACACACAGCAAAACACCCTGAGCCAAAGGGAAACCCTGATGTGAGACTTTCATCTTCCATTTACAGCCAAAGTAGAAATTAAAGGCCTCCTGAGCACAAGAGCTTTGCACAAAATGGACCCCCACGGCCCACAGAACCACTCACCCTCTTCACAGTAGAAGCCAAGGTCTGGAGCACTGCGAGCTTATCCCTGAGCACAAAGGAGTTTGATTAATACTCAGCTGCAGACTTTGAATGCTGTGCATTACAGTCTTTGGAGAACAAGCACAGGATTATCCTAACCCACAAGGATTTTCAGTTCTAGGAAATAATGTTTTTGCTGCACTAAGAAAACAGCACATCTCACAAAAAAAGAGAGAAAATGCAAAAATGGTCTCAATTCTTAAACAACCCCAGGAAAAAAAAAAAAAAGAGGAAAAACAGAAGAGCATATGTGTTTACAGCTATTACTCCTGCCCTTATAATACATTATCAAAGAAAGATCATAGGGAAGAGACACAAAAATAATTCCTTGGAATGCTGCTCCTAGAGCATCTCCAGGGAATAAATATATTAAGTTGCTCAACAAGACATGTCTTTACACGAACAAATAAACCACACCAACAGCAGGTATCTCACAGGACTCCTGTGCCTGTGCAACCTTTAAGACTTTGGCTGTTTCAAGCAAACAAGGAAAGGCCAGTGAAAGTGTTTAGATGAAGATGGCCTTATTTTAGCTTTACATGCTGACACCATTTGACCACAAACTCAATTTTTGCTATACAGCCACGCAATTCCATCTTAAGTCTCCCAACAAAAAAGGCTTTGTTCAGTTGTGTGATTTTTAAGCAGGATTTATTCCCTCAGTTATCAATGATCAAGTTTTATTTTGCTGAAGAAACACATTCACATGCAAACAGCCAAACGAACTTGGTTTTACAAATCTTTAGCGAATGTGATCTTTTGCAAAGAAATAGAACCATGCTTAAAAATGCAGTTATTGTAAGTGCTTTTAAAAGAAATGTCAAGAATGCAGTGTACATAATCTGCAGAGAGAGTAAGAATCAAGAATATTCACAGAGCTCCAAATCAGCAGGAAAACCCCTGGTGGGATATTGCATCAAGGAATACAGGAACCTCAACTTCCTTTTTCAGCTTTGGTGGACAGACTACATTTAGCTGTCTAATATTTTATTTTCCAAGTGAAGATTCCAAAAGTAAACACTCACCATGTTTTTCTTCGGGGGAGCACAATTTCTTCTTGAGTTACTGTGAGAAACAATATTAAAATTATCATAGAAACAAAGAGATGCCCAAAGAAAATTTTGGCCCCATACGTTGTAGCAAAGTGGGGTCAATCCTTCTCACAAGTAATAAATGATAGAACAAAGTGCAAATGGCCTCAAGTTGCACAAGGTGAAGTTTAGATCAGATATTAGGAAGAAATTTCTTCACTAAAAGGTTTGTCAAGCATTGGAACAGGGGAGTGGTGGGGTCACCATCCCTGGAGGGATTTAAGACATGTGGATGTGGCACTTGGAGACGTGCTTTAGAGGTGCCTTGGCAGTGCTGGGTTAAGAGCTGGACTCCACTAACTCAGAGGTCTTTTCCAATCCCAGCAATTCTATGATTCTAAAGGAATTGATGAGTTAAGCTGATCCAGCTGAAAGTACAAAAACAAGAATTTTAAAACCACAGTCTAATGTAGGCTAATGGAGCTGCACAACTCAGTTCATGCTCTTGGAGCATGGAGCTGATGGGTGATGAGGGAAGGAATTAAGTTAATCCAGGAAATTTATGCACAATGAAGACAAAGAGAGAGAAAATCCAAGGAGGAGAAAGAGGGTGTTTAAATCATCTTTATCTCCTGACACACTGTGTTGTTTGGAGATCAAAATCATCTGCAAGGAAACAGTAATGAAGACATCTTACCTTGTGAATTGTCCACAGTCTTCCCAAGAGCAGGACTACTTGAAGAGCTCCTACAAGCAATCAGGAGTTTGAATTTATGGCAGTCACATTAATACAGCAAAAGCAGAAATTCCATACTACAGGTTAGCATTAACTAAAACATTAGAGGGAATTGGAGTGCATTGGAGTAACTGGTAGTATTGCACTGTTACTACCTCCAAATTATTACCATAAAAATTATACTTGATGCTTCTCTTAAGGCCCTTGTTTAAAGGGACAAGAGGTTATATGTCAAAAACTATACTACAAAAAAAAATCTGTTACTTATCATTGGAATATAGTGTTTTTAAAGTAGTTTTCATGAACTAGTGCATCTTACAAAGAAAATCACAGACATAAATCAGAAAATACCTTTTTATGCTTTAGAGATAGGATCACACTGAAAATAGCACTTTAAAAAAACCCCAAAACTTTAGACATGAGTAGTGCTGAAAAAGGAGAAAACCCAGAGTAATGATGCAGGTGAATCAGCCCTGGTGAGTTGCAGATGCCCAGATGTCTCTAGAGAGGTGCAGAAGCTCCTGACAAAACCACAGCTGCAGCACACATGGACTCACTGTGCTGAGTACCACAAAGCAGCTGCTTTGTGCTCACTGCTTCAAGTCTTCCTCACCACTGTGCACATTTTACTGCTTTTAACACAAACTAAGGCTTATGTTAAAATACTTGTACTTGTTTTGCTCTAGAAGCAACCTAACAGTAAAGCTTTACTGCAAATCTGGCCTCCAGTGCCTCCACACTGACCTTGACCCTGACGGAGAGGCTATTAAGGTGCAGCTCTGTGCTTTACTGTGGCACTGCACAATTCCAGCTGCTCCTGGGAAGTCTCATAGACAGATTACATACGATTTTGCCATCCCAAAAATGAGTAACAATTACCCAGTAAAGTGAAATCTTTTCATTTGAGACAGCCCCTAAACAAAACGTGGCATAGAATCTTGGAATGTTAAGGTGTTGGAAGGGACCTCTAAGATCTTGTTCCACCTCTGCTGCCATGGGCAGGGACACCTTCCACTAGACCAGGTTGCTCCAAGCCCCATCCAACCTGCCTTTGAACACTGACAGGGTTGGGGCATCCTCAGCTTCGCTAAGAACCTGTGACAGTGGCTCACCACCGCTACCATAAAAAAAAATCCTTACCAGTAGCTAATCTAAACTAAACTTCTCCTTTTCCGATCTGCACTCCTTAATCCTTGTTACTCCTGGCGAAAGGTCCCACTCTGGCTCCTTGGCAGGCCCCATTCAGACACTGGAAGGCAGTTATGGGGTCTATAGTCCCTTCTTGAGGCCCAACAGCCCCAGCTTCCTCAGCCTTCCTAGATTTTCGCCAGACTCAGCTCAGGAATCGCTTAAACGCTCGAACTCTCTCCCGGGGAAGCTCCGAGCCGCCCCAAAGCAGGGAAGTTCCCCAGGAAGGGCGTTTAAAAGCAGAGAAGAGCGGCAGAGAAGAGCGGCTCCCTCAGACCACGCGGCCGCGCCGAGCCCCGCACTGCGCCTGCGCAGCCTTTCCGCCTCACTCCCCGCACTCCCGCACCGCCCGTGCATCGTTTCCTCCCCGGTGCCGCCGCCTCCCGGCCCTTCCCTCCCGGCGGACCCTCACCGGTAGCTGTCCGGCCCGCGGGGGAGGCGGCACCGCCGGCTCAGGCTCAGCCCCAGCGCCCGCTGCCAGCAGCCGGCCCCGACCCGCCGCGCCGCCATGGCGCCCCGCTCTGCCCTCTGCGCAGGCGGGCGGCACCACTCCTCCAGCGGGGGGGAGGCCGGTACCGCCCCTCCGCGGCGGTGGTACCGCCCGGCCCTGCCCACCCCCCTCCCCACAGCCAGGACCGCGTGGTGCTGCCCGTGGCGCGGCGCTTCCAGCGGGAGCTGCAGGCGGCCGGGAGGGCTTTGCTCGATCGCCATGAGGCCGCCCAAAGTGGTGCCGTGGCGGCGGCTGGTCGGGGTGTCCTTCGGCATGTACACGGCCGAGGAGATCAGGTGAGGCTCCATGTGTGAGCGCGCCGAGCTGTGCGGGTGATGCCGGGTACTACCGGTCCCAGCATGCCGCGCGCCACAGCCCACCGCAGCTTTGCGGCGCCCTGCCGCGGGGCACGCTGGGACGTGTGGTCCGGTTGGGCCGTGGCCCAGCCGCCGGGATGGCGGCAGCCGAGGTTTGTACATAATCTCGCACGGCTCGAGGGGACACACTGACAAAATTATGTGATTTCTTAGTAGAGTGGCTATTCATGTAAAAGAAATATTTGCTGCGGTACGAATGATTTCCCTGATTGCATCGTGAAATCAACGATACACAAACTCGCATTGCATTCGCAAAGTGCTCTCAGAAAGATGTTCTCATCGCTTGAGAAGATCACACAGATACTAAATGCCCGTGATAGTTGTACCATTCATGTCGCTCTTTTCTGACGTTGATTTTTGCTCTTTCCTTCCAACCTCAGGAAGCTGAGTGTAAAACCCATAACAAACCCGCAGTACCTGGACAACGTGGGCAATCCGGCTGTGAATGGGCTGTACGACCTGGCCCTGGGACCCCCGGACTCCAGAGAAGTGTGTGCCACTTGCATGCAGAACTTCAGCAACTGCCCCGGACACTTCGGCCATATAGAACTGCCTCTGGCTGTCTACAACCCCCTGTTCTTCGATGTATGTACAGTGAATTATTGCTGGTGAAAGGGGTGGTGGTGCCCGAGCTGTCATGTCCTTGAAAATAGTAACGGTGCCAAGATCTGTTTTCTCTTTTAAGTGTAATAACAGCAGATGTAGTAGAAAAGCTTTGTTGTGTTTTGATAATTCAGTAGAAACAGACCTTTCGAAAAATATGCACATTGTTGGAGATATTGTTTTACTCAATATTGACAGGCAGGTGAGGGGGAAATATTCATCCTGAAGTAGTGACTGACTATAGAATATTGTGCTTTAATTAAATAAATGGCACAGTAAAAGTTATCATTTCCTTTAAACAACTACTGCACATGAACAGCTGTCTACTCTTCCAGTTTTTAACAAACCTGAGCTGGGATGAATTTTCCTCCTGAGGTGATGATCCCGCCGTTTGCAGTAGCTGCCTTTTGCACAGACTACTAATTGAGAGTCAAAACCTCACTTTCAAATGACCAAAGGTAGATGAGGTACCCACTTCTAGCCTTGTTCCAGCTTTAAGTCAAATAACTGTATTGACCAAGGATTGAAATCCTGGAGCAGCAACTCCCAGCCTTCAGGCCACAGGGGCTGCATGCAGCTGGAGTGAGAGAACTGTGTTAAATAATAACACAGAGCTGTGTTAAATAATAAAACCCACTGATAATTTCCCAGACCTTGAGGAGAAGGTGATTGTGTGAAGGATCTTGTAGGATTGAGACCAGAATGTTTCATTTTACTAGTGTGGGTTGAGCTATTAGGAGCTGTAGTCACGGTGCTGTGCAAGAGCAGCCTGGGTCCCAGAGCTGCTGTGGATACCACAAGTATTTCATGTACCTGTTACGTAGACAGCCTGCAGAGGGTTTATATACAGATCATGCTTTGCATGTGAGTTCGGTTGAAATATTTTTTTTTCAAGCAAATTAACCATTAGTTCAATTTCCCAATTATAGTAGCACTCTCTTTAAGTCCAAACAATTGCATTTACTTGCTTACTGTGCAAGCTTATACATCTTGATAGCCTTGTACATCAAGATAGCCTTTTTTTCCCCTTTCCTTTCCAGAAATTATACCTTCTCATCCGAGGGTCCTGTTTGAATTGCCACATGCTGACCTGTCCCCGAGCTGTGGTTCACCTGCTGCTGAGTCAGCTGAAGGTGCTGGAGAAGGGGCTGCTCCACGCTGTCCATGACCTCGAAGTCATTCTGAACAAGGCAAGTATTGTGCAATGCTCCATCCCTGCTGGACTTCATGGTCTCACAGCTGGAAAGCTCTCTGCCAATTTCTCTTCTTCTGTTCCTTTCAGTTCGTGGAGCAGTGTGCAGATGCAACAGGCTCAGAAATCGAGGAAGAGTTGAATCGCCACGTTCAGGAAATGTTACAGAGCTCTCAAATAAGAGACCGGTGCTCAAATGTGAGTGCAGGCAGTGCTTCTCCTGAGATCCTGGGCTTTTTCCTCTTAAAACAGTGATGTGCAGGACAGGTCCTGTCTTTGTAGCTGCTGGATTATGTCCAGTTCTGAACTGTGTTATGTTTAGTGGGCTTTTTGAGGGAAATGTCTGAAATTAAAACAGATTTTATTTCCCATCAGTGTAACTGTTGAATTTCTGGAAGATAAGGAAATGCCTGTGTAGGGAAATGTTTTGATGGTGTATACTATATTAAAATCTGATACTGTTTTCAGTACACCAGCTACAAATGTTGATACTTCTCTGTCTGGTGCTCTGTTTTGAGCTGCAGAACGCATTTTGAGAATTCATGCATCCAGCAAACTTGCAGAATTAATAACAGTGACATTTTTTGGAAAACTCATGCAATTGAATTCTTATTTCCATTTAAATGTAGTTTAATGTGCATGGTTAGTAAAGGCGAGTGAAGAAGATACTTATAATCTAAGATCATTCAGCAGATTTGTTTATAAGCCAGTTTTAATTCCTTGATCACTTGTTTAAAAACTAAGCTTAAGCAATTTGTAAATCATACATTCATGAGCTGTCAAAAAAGTGGTTTTTGTCATTTTTATACTTCCTTAAATCATCATTAGAGAAAAGCTTTAAATTCCAGTACTGACTTGAAAATTAAAGACTTTATGGAATAAATTGAAAAAGGAGCATGGAGAGCACTGAGGGATATGCTTCCAGCAAATGGGAAGATGATGAAAAAGCACTACAGATCAAGGCATGAATTAATCAGTACATGGATGTGTGTGCATTGGTACTAATAATGTTCATGTTGTAATGTTTATTGTGTAATGTTTAGTGAATTCTTCATATAACATGTTTTAATTTATTTTTATTATATTCATTATTTTTAAGTAAGTTTTTTTTTCTTTACCAGGTCAAAAATGTGCGTGAGTGTAGAAATAAGCTGGTATCACAATTCTGGAAAGCACATATGGCTTCAAAGAAATGCCCAAACTGCAAGTAAGTTTAACTACATGAGGAAGCTGGATTCTAGTTAAATGCTGTATTTACATTAACCTTTATCTGCCTGTCCTGTTTGGGTTTTTTTTACCTTCAAGATCCAGGAGATCCCTGGTGCGAAAGGAGCACAACAGCAAGCTGACAGTAACCTATCCTTCTACAGTGTACCATAAGCCAGGAGAGGAAGGCATTCTGGATCAAACAGCAGGTGAAATATTTGTCTTCTACTCAAATATTTTGCACTTTTTCCCTGCATTTAAGGGGCACAGATTCTTAGCAGTGACTGTGCACTTGGAACTCATTTATAAAAAATACTGATTATAACTAAACCATTAAGCTTGGTAGTCAGAGAGAACACAATTCCATTAAATTTCTGTTTTGAGAGCCTGTTGTGCTTTTGTAGTTTCAAGTGTCTCTGTGTCAGGAAAAGAATTAAAACAGCATAATCTTTGTCAGCTTTAGGGTGGTTTTGGAACACTTCATTTTTGGCAGGTAGTTGGTTTTCTGCTGGATTTTTTAAACAGAGCAACTACAGATAAGATTAATTAGGAGGAAGATGACTGACTTCAGAAAGAAAATCACATAATCCTAACTCTTACAAATTAATTTCATCCTAAAGAGTAAAAGACAAAAAAGAAAGTAGGTGGCACTTTCCAGGATTAATTAACTTATTGTTTGAACCAATTTAAATCTCCTTTTCCTTCTTGTGTCCTTGATCCTTTACACGAGACAGAATTGAAGCAGACATTTATGTGTGTTATTTAGCTCTTAGGAAAGGTTTCCATGGATAGTTTATTTTGTTTGCTACTGTGTGATTTAAATGGTAGATTAAATCTCTGGAGCTGTGGCTGAAGAAGCAAAATGGGAAGTATTCTATTTTCTGAACTGGGATGGATCACACAGGTACATTCTGCATAGCCTGTGCATGGTAAAGTCCCAAAAGGGAGTACCTTTAACCTTGGCATTGATGCCCTTCTGTTTAAGGGATGGAAAGGTTTTCTAGGTGGATGGAGTACTGAACTTTCAGTTTGCAAAAATCTGCATTTCTGGACCTAACCCAGAAGAAGAATAGGAAACTGTCTGAGGTCATGGGAGAATTACTTTTCATCGAGTTGTGGAAATTGAGAGCTAAAATCTTTGGCTTTGTTTTGAAAATAATTGATCTTTTTGCTTTTTAGTAGCAAAACCACGTGTTTTCCTTCCTCTCCAAAGCAGAGGTAACCCAGACTCTCACTTATAATATTGATGGTGCTGTTGTCTCCTTCAGTTGAGTATTTCATGGGAACCTTGATACCTCACTGGAAGTACCTGAACCCCACTGAAAGCTTCCCCACCTGCAGGCTGACTCTTGATTTGTGTTTTGGTCAGGGGATGAGATCATTTGAAGAAAAGTTCCAGCTCACTATAAGTCAAAAAAACCCCATAAACTTTAGGTGTTAGAGTGGAATCTTACTTCTGTTACTTATATTCATATTCACTAGTCACAGAAATGGGTTTTTTTTTACTTAATTTCATATTCTCAAAGCAAATATTTAAATTATAATTTTGATGTAGGTGTCAGCCAGTGTATTTTGTATGTATATTTTGTATTTCCATTCCTTCTCTGAGTTGGAAGCACCACTGTAAGAAAAAAAAACCAAAAACACAAAAACCACATTTCAGTGTAATGTCTTGAGATTTTTTTAAAATAAATATTTCATTTTTATTTTATTTTTTACTTTCCAGGTATTGATGAAAGCCAGTTAGGGAAGAGAGGATACCTGACACCAATGACTGCCAAGGAATACATCCTGGCTCTGTGGAAGAATGAAGGTAATGGCTGTGAAGAGAAACATTGCTTCGTTTTTTCATTTTTGTACCATTTAGTGGACAAATCTGCAAATCTTCCAGTATGAACTCCTTGTCAAATCTTTGCCTTTTGCCTTAAGGTCTTCTGGCTGGAAAATAGGTTTTGTGTCAGGAGTAGTATTGGCAGCCAGTGAATGGAGAGACATGGATTCAATTAACACTTTGATCAGTTATTCTCAAATTGTGGCTCCCTACAAATCACAGTAGTTGTTTGCAGAGATTTTCCTATGGTGCTGCACCCCACAGTTACCCTGGTTAAAGTCTGAGAATGGATTTATCAGCCTCTTTTTTGGGTTGTACTCTGAATCTGTCTGCAGCTACCAGGAGAAACCAAAGTTTCATGAATCAGTCACAGTCAGTAGCTGGAAACTTTCTTCCTCTTGTTTTGCTTTCTCCATTTGCTATAATATATATTTCTATCCAGAGTTGTTTCTAAAATACCACACGTATGTGACAAAAGAAAAAAAAAAAAAGGAGTGGCAATTCTTTCTAAACTGTGTTTAAATGTTTTTGTTTTAATCAAGCTCAATAGTGTTAACAGATTCTTTTGACTTGGCTGGTCATGTGCATCTGGGGTTTGGATTCTCAAACAATGGCAATGAGAATGAGTTTATATTTCTTTTGTCTCTTTTTAGGTTTCTTTCTGCGTTATCTCTTCCCTGGGTTGTATCCCAATGAGAGTTCAGGATTCAGTCCAGACATGTTTTTTTTAGATCTACTTGTTGTTCCACCTTCAAGGTAAAATTTATCTCCTCAAAATCTTGTAGATCTCACAGGGTTTTGTGCACCCTTTGCAGGGATTGGAGATCCAAAATCCTGTAGTACAGACACTGGTCTGCTTAAGTGTCAGTAGTGTTTAAATAATAAAAATCAGACTAGTAGTTGATAAGTTCTATTGTAGTGAGTTAGTTAGAAGACTGAAATACTAATTATGGAAAAAATATATTTTAGTATTAGTATTTAAAAGAATTATAAATATTGTAACTGCACAGTACTGATATAATTTCTTATTAAGGATCACTCATCTTTTATGACTGTCCCAATAGAAAATACCCACTGTTAGTTTGGATTATTTTCCATACACTGAAGATTTAGCTTAGGATATTTGAGGTTTATCATGCTGCTTTTGAGTTGCTTTAATCCTCTGAAGTAATTTTGGTTTGCTGTAGGTATCGTCCTGTGAATCGCCTTGGAGATCGCCTGTTCACAAACGGGCAGACTGTGAACTTGCAGGCTGTGATGAAAGATGCCCAAGTGATAAGGAAACTCTTGGTTTTCATGGCCAAAGAACAGTGTCAGCCAATAAAAATTACAGAAGAAATTCAAACAGTAAGAGTTGCTGGTTGTCTTGCTCTTTGTTTTTTTGGATGGGTGGGTCGAGTTCAGGAAAGCTCCTGTTTAAGCTGTTCCTGTAACAGTTTTTGCCTGAGGTGTTGGAATATCTGGAGAAGTTTTATACCTTGTTTGTTTTTTTCCCTCTGTTCTTTTCTACCTGGTGTAAAGATAAAAATTTTTGCTCAAATTCTCTTAGCCATGGATTTTTGGTATTAGAGTACTGTATGTGAAGTGTTAAGGGGCTCCTGATTCTGGAGGATGAAATATATACAGCACAAACAGTTCACAGTAAAACTTTGCCAGCATCTCAACATATGAAAAGAGGGGGAAAAAGCCACTTCAGCGTCTAAGCCTAGTGGAGCCAGTTGTGATTTGTATTTATTTTTTGACAGTCGATGTGTAAGTAGCACACAAAACTTCACAAAAAATATAATGAGTAACAATACTTGTCTGTTTCTGACAGTTCACATAGTTGTGTAGTGTATATAATAATAATATATGTCAGCTTACCTCATTCCATATTTGTTCATCAGTTTTATCATTGAGGGGCCTCTGACACTGGACTCAGTTTCAGGGGAGGTTGATTTATGTCTGCAGTGTAAAACATTGTTAGCTTCTCAGAATGCAGCCACTAGATGAAGATCTGTTCTTAAAACATTTGACAGGAGGTCAATGAGTTTTGGATGTGACTGGTTTAGTGGCTTTTAGACTGAAAACAAAGTGATGTAAGTGATAAAATCTCTTGGATTTACATTATTTTTATCCAAGAATAGGATTTTCTAGTTACAGTGATTCCTAACATGGACTGACTACCAGTGCAAAATAATGGTGAATGTTTCTTTTGCTATATTTAATACTGTAATTAATACTATAACTTCAGCCTAGTAAGTAGAAGATATTTTTTGTTTCTAACTCCTGTTTCTGCAGGAGACAGGAGAGGATACTGAACCTCTGGACCGTTCTGTGCTGACAATTCCGGGACAGAGCATTGCAGATAAGCTGTACAACGCCTGGATACGTCTCCAGAGCCATGTCAACATTGTGTTCGATAGTGACATGGACAAGCTGATGACAGAGAAATACCCTGGTATTCGTCAGGTGGGTAGCAGGTGGAGTCTTAATTAAAAAACCAAGCTGGTGGAGTAAGAAAAAAGCGAACTGTTTGTGATTAGTACATGGGCATTTTCATGCCTCTCATCATTGCAAGAATCAATCTGATTTTCCATACTTGCAGTTTTTAATTGTGACCTTCTGTTTTTCAAGCTGTTGGAGAAGAAGGAAGGGCTGTTCCGCAAGCACATGATGGGGAAGCGCGTGGATTTTGCAGCTCGATCCGTCATTTGCCCCGACATGTACATTGGGACCAATGAGATTGGCATCCCTATGGTGAGGAGAAATAAAGGGCTGTGTCTTCCTGCTGCAGCTCAGGGTTGAGCTGCACTGCTGGCAGTTTGGTAGCAGTTTAAAATCTAGAGGGTTTCTGACTCGTCTGAGCTCTTTCCTGCCCAGTGTTAATGAGAGAGCACTGAAGAGCAGGAAATTCTTACCGTTACAAAATAAGAACACCACATCTGAGAAAGAGGGGTTAAAGAAAAAAAGAAAGAAAAAGCTCTAGTTGCTCTGTGGGACTAGGAATTGGTGCAAACTTCAAGAGTAGATCCTGTTCCTCCTGTGGTCTTTGTATGAGGTGTTTTTGAGGTATTGTAGTCTTAAGAGAAGCTGTGATAATGTCACCAATTTCATCCATCCTTAAGGAATTTTAGCTACAGAGAGATGACACCAAGCCTGAATTTGAGTTTTTCATTATCACATCTTTGCAGAAAATAGTGAACCTGTTGATAATGTGCCTTTTCTCTGTATTTGTTGGCTTATTTGCAGAATCTGAATCCATAATTGCTTTCCTTAATTGCTGATTGAGTTTTATACCACAGTAGAAAATTGTAAAAGGGACATTGTTTCTGCCCTTATGGTAGAGGATTTTAAAGGAGAAATATATTTATTTGGCACTAGAGTAGACTGAGGAGATTCAAGACCTTAAAGTAATTTATGCTTGCATTATACTTCTTAATTTTGGATGCTGTTCTGTCAGTGACTTTTAGAGTTTTAAGCCAATATTGAACAACGTGTTATTTCTCTCCTCTATTCCTTCCTGTCTAGGTATTTGCCACCAAACTGACTTATCCTCAGCCAGTGACTCCCTGGAATGTCAAAGAGCTGAGGCAGGCTGTCATCAATGGCCCCAAGGTGCACCCTGGGGCCTCCATGGTCATTAACGAGGACGGGTCCCACACGGTGCTGAGCGCCACCAGCCTGACCCAGCGCGAGGCCATCGCCAAGCAGCTCCTCACCCCCTCCTCAGGGGCACCCCAGACTGGGCTGAAGATTGTGAGTATGTGCAGAGCCCTCCTCCATCTCTGGTTGAGGGGGTAGGAACAAAAACATGGTGCTTTTTCCAATTCTAAACCCTGTTTTTCCTTCATTTACTTTCTTCTAATATGCAGTGTGTGGCATTCATCGTGCCAAGGTGCAGAGTATTCTTAGTAGTGGCCTTGACAGTTCTGGCTTAGCAGTTGGGCTCCATGGTCTTAGAGGTCTTTTCTAACCTAATTGATTCTATGTCAGTTGCTTCTCCTCTGTGCTACAGTTTAATCAACCTTTGAAACTTCTTAACTGTATCTCTGTCCCATGCAAGAGTTAAAAAAGCACTATTTAGCAACTAAGACAAAAGTTTTGGTGTTTAATAGTGTTTTCGCATTGTTATGTATTACCTTGTCTCTCATAAAGACTTAGCAGAGATCTGAAATTTAAGTCTGAGTATTTCTGTGATGTCAGTTCTTTCAGAACCTGTCACAGAGTTAAACATAGATTGTACAAACAACTTACCATACTCTTGTTGATAATCACTTAAGTGGATATTTGGGTGTTACTAACAGAAAAATTAAAATGAGACTATTCTGAGAGGCTCTGTTCTAGATAAGGATATATTGTGTTGTACTCAAAGATGAAATTAAGAGATTCCCGGCCTCTGCTTCAGCTACTGGGTCATATAACTACTTTACTCTAGGGTGTCCATGGCTGGGTATATTGTGGGAGGTATCAGTTCAGCCCAGTGGGCTTTGGATGAAGAGCTGATAGATTTGATCCCTTGGTTTGGGGGAATTAATGAGGAATGGTTGTTTGGTGGAGAGCAGAGGGCCTTCAGGGCCAAACAGTCTTGCTTCTCCCTTGAGTTTTACACAGAGCACGAATAGCAGAAAGAAGATGTTTTGGATGTGTGTATTTAAAGATCACTTAGTCCTTTCTGAGGCACCCGAATCTCTTGGCAGGTGTGTCGGCACATAAAGAACGGGGATGTGCTGCTGCTGAACCGCCAGCCCACGCTGCACAGACCTTCCATCCAAGCTCACCGCGCCCGCATCCTGCCCGGGGACAAGGTGCTGAGGCTGCACTACGCCAACTGCAAGGCTTACAATGCTGACTTCGATGGGGATGAAATGAATGCCCACTTCCCACAGAGTGAGCTGGGCAGAGCAGAGGCCTACACCTTAGCCATCACTGATAAACAGTACCTGGTGCCAAAGGCAAGTAAAACTGCCAGATAAATTTATTTCTAGAGGCAATCGCTTTCCTTTAGCTTGTCTAATGATAAATGAGATAATTTTTTAGGAGTCTATTTACTTACCTCTGAGGTTTATTTCTGTGTTCTTTCCTCACTTGTGGTTCTGTTCCTCTAAAGAAGGTCCAGCACATCCAAACAATCTTGTTCCTTTGAGTCTCTGTGTCCAGAAGAGACTCAGCAGAGAGTTGTGCTGTAATGAGTTCTTTACAAATTACTTAAATGCTTTTATCCAGGAGGAATAATTTTGGGAGCTGGAGGCACACGACTTATTAACCCCACCACCACCTTTTTCTTGTTACTTCTTTAGGATGGGAAGCCACTTCCTGGCTTGATCCAGGATCACATGATTTCTGGAGTCAGCATGACAATCCGGGGCTGCTTTTTCACCAGAGAGCAGTACATGGAGCTTGTGTACCGAGGGCTCACAGACAAAAAAGGAAGAATTAAAATCTTTCCTCCAGCCATTATGAAGCCACAGCGATTATGGACAGGAAAGCAGGTAGTTTGTCATTTACTGGGTTAGAGAATGCTGGTGGTTTTAAAGTAAGCAGAATGCTGATAATTAACCAGTGCTGCAAAGGGTGTTTGGAAGACCAGATCCCATTAACACAATGGCGGTTTTGGTGTGTGTTTCTGAGCTGTAAAACCCAACAGACAGCTTTTTTTTCTTTTAATTTTAATATATCTAAGTATTGGAAAAATCTTTGCTGTTTTATATTTCTGAATAATTGTGTGTCTCAGCTCACTGATCCTTCAGAGGGTAGAGTAGCAGGAGGATATTCCTGCTTTGTGAGATTTTCAGGCTTTCAAACTTTGCTGTCAGTGGAAAGAATATATGGAGGACGTTGCTTTTCTCATTCGTGCCAGATTTTTTTATGTTGAGAAGTAATTAAAAATAAATAATTCCTGCCCCTCATCCTGCTTCTTTATAGGTTGTTTCCACATTGCTAATAAACATTATTCCAGACAACCATGCTCCACTGAATTTGACTGGGAAAGCAAAAATTGGTGGGAGAGCCTGGGTAAAGGGACCTGCAAAAGAATGTCTGAATCTTGATTCGATGTGTGAATCTCAGGTATGCAACAACTCTGGGGGTTGGGCTGGGTTGGATTAAAATTGTGTGTGTACAGTAAAAGAATTGGAAGGGAACAAGGCAGATGACAAAGTTAGAAGCAGATATTTGGCAACAGTTACTGCCAGAAGTGGGTGATTGGAGAATAGCCTTGGGAATCAGGAAAAATTCTCAGTGGTCCTGACTTAGGTAGATTCTATCTGGTTTTGTTAGACCATGTCTCTTCATTGTCAGACTTTATAGGTGGAAAAATGCAGATGGTGTTAGAAGTTTCATTTCTGCTACAAATTCTGAAAGTATAGATATGACTTTAACCACTCACCAATATGTAAGCTTTTTAAACTTATACCAATTTCCACATAGATTATACGGAAAAACTGTAGAGGTCATAGTACGATTAAAATTTCTGTTTTCCTGATTCAAAGCTGTGTTTTATTTTTCAGGTTATTATCAGAGATGGGGAACTACTGTGTGGAGTCTTGGACAAAGCTCACTTTGGCAGCTCTGCCTACGGGCTGGTCCACTGCTGCTATGAGATCTATGGGGGTGAAACCAGTGGGAAAGTGCTGACGTGTCTGGGGCGCCTCTTCACTGCTTACCTGCAGCTGTACAGGGGATTCACCATGGGTGGGTACCTGCAGCAGTGCAGCACCTCCTGAGGTCTAAGCCAGACATGGTTGGGCATAAAACATGCTAATTCTGTTAATGAAATTCTGCAGGACTGCCCTTGAGTGGGATAGCTGCCTGCCAGCCTTTTTTTGGTCTTATTTTTACGCTGGCCTTCTAAGCATAAAGAGAAGGTGTAGTCTTGAGCATGTCCAACAATTTCTCTTTTCTGTCCCGTCCAGCCAATCTGTACACAGATAATATGTCCTGTGTTGAAGTTTTGTTTAGATGGAAACCTTGTGTTTTGCTTCTCTGAAAAGTAATTACTGCATAGAAAGCAGAACAGCTGACAAAACAAGGTGAAAGAACTTTAAGGGCTTGGTGATCAAGCCTTGCACATCACACTTTATGGTAAAACTTTTGGTTAATGAGTTTGAAAAGCCTTTATTACAGGTTTTCAAACCCACACAAGAGTTATGGAGACACAATGAACTGTCAGCAGTAGCAAGGGACCAACAGACTTCTGTGAGCCAGGGAAAAGAGAGGGCATCTTTTGGAGTGAGGAAGGTGACTGATTAACTCACAGGACTCCAGAAAGCCAGGGTGCAAAAGCTAGATAGGAAAAGATAACAAGCCTGGGACCACTAGGCAGTTAAAACATGAGAAGAGAAGTGAGACTGGAGCTGGAGTTTGGGATTTGGTGTTTTGACACAGCCATTTTAGTGTCTGTGCCAGGACTCCTCACAAACAACTCACAGGAGTTCAGGTTGCAGTGTTTAATCTGCTCCCTGATCCTGTCATCTCAAGGATCTGTATTTTTAATTTATCTTTTTTTAAAAAGCTAAGAAATGCCAAATTGTGAAAAGTTCAACTAATAGGAAGTTTCATGTGGATGGAAGGAAAAAAGCAGTTTGATGTGGCTGGTCCATAAAGCATTAGTTTGTACAAGTGCACCAACTAAGAGTTTTTAGAGACTGTTAAAGTTAAGACTCCTTAAATTAGGGAGTTGATTTTGCACTCCTACTGCTTAGTTGTTTGGTTTTTTTTTGTTGTTGTTTTTTTTTTTTTATGGCTTACAACTTTTTTTTTATGGCTTACAACTTCTCTATCCAGAAGCTATTCAGATTTTTTTTTTCTTCTTGTCAAACTGAAAGCCCTGAGTCTAACCATCATTACAACTTTAGTTGTGGCTTTCTTTCCCAGCTCTTCACTCAAAATCCCTAACAGAAAATGTGGTTCCTTCCTTGAATTTTTTTTTCAGTTTAGACCATTGTGTTCTGTCTCCTCTTTAACAGGGATTGAAGATATTTTGGTTAAACGTGAAGCAGACCACAAAAGAAAAAAAATCATTGAAAGGTCAAGGCAGAGTGGCATTGAAGTAAGTGTTTTGCAGATTTATTTTTTCTTCCATAATGCAAAATTTTTGAAATACGGCCTTGGTCAATCATGCCTGCTTAACACCTAAAAATTCCTATATTTTACTTTCAGGTTGTTAGAGCTGCTCTTAATTTGCCAGAAACAGCATCAAGTGAGGAGGTCCAAGGGAAGTGGCAGGATGCCCATCTCTGCAAAGACCAGAGGGATTTTAACATGGTTGATATGAAATTCAAGGAGGAAGTAAACAATTACAACAATGAAGTCAACAAGGTTGGCATTGAGGCATCTGTGCATACTAATCTTGTTTAACTTTCTCATTAAGTTAATTAATGTGGATGAGCAGTGCCTGACTCTTCTGGAGGCTGAAGCTTTCCCTCTGTCCCCAGCATGGGGCTCCACATGCTCCCTCTCCTCCTCAGCCTTGTCCTCCCTGAGGGAGAAGATGGCTTAATATTCAAGATGCTTTTGAAATTATAAATAGGAATGTGTGTGATTACTCATTGTTTCGCTTTGTTAAAGCCTTCCACAGGAATTTCTTGGGTTTATTATTTTATTAATAAAGCTTGGTTTTGTTCCCTTCACTCCCCCACAACTCTGTAGGTTTGCATGCCCCTTGGTCTCCACAGGAGCTTTCCAGAGAACAATTTGCAGTTGATGGTGCAGTCAGGAGCCAAAGGATCCACTGTAAACACAATGCAGGTAATGCAATAACCAGAATATGTTTAGGAGCTGATGTGATGTGTCCTAGAATACAAGTTGCTGGGAAGGAGATGTCTGATCCCAGAGCAAAGTTTTTGTTCTAGACTTTGGCATGGAAAAATGTTAGAAGAATGTAATAAAGACTTCAGTGGGTGATGGAAGAGAGTCAGTGTTTATTATAACCTATTTTTGAATTGCTCCTCAGTAATGAGGGTTTATTGAAATAGCAGAACTGCTTTTGAGAAGGAATGCTGCAGTTTATACAAACAAACGAACTGTAGGAGAAATGTCTCCTGGCCTCTGTTGGAGACTGACCCTCTCCTTCCTCAACTTCTGAATAGGAACAACAAAATCTTTGGTTTTGGTAGAAGTGGAAGGATACATTTTCATTTTGCCATTTGCAGCACAGACACCAAGCAAGAGACACTCTATAAAAATGCCATCTAAAATGGAGAGAATGACCACAGCTAAAGAGAGAACATTTTGGGTTGAGGTTTTTGTTCTGTTTTTAATACACTGCTGAGAGATGGTGAGGGTAATGTAGGGACCTAAAACATATCTACAGTATTTTTAGTTTCACATTTCTGTGTTCAAATAAGTATACAGAATGAGGTATTGAGGTAATGTTGAGGATGAGTTAGGGTACTGGAATAACTTTAAAAAACCAGGTGAGCTCTCCATGGCCTTTCTGCCCCTCAGTAGCTGGAACATTGCATGAACAAGTCCACATTGAGCTACAGAGCATTTACTGAGCATTTGACATTTTTTTTTACTGTATTTTTCAAGAAAAATCACTAAGCTTATATGAACAGAAAGTTGGATGGAAAAGTGATGTTTCCTTTTTTCCTGCCCACATTTAGATTTCTTGTTTGCTGGGCCAGATTGAGCTGGAAGGCCGAAGACCCCCACTGATGGCATCTGGCAAATCACTGCCATGTTTCCAGCCTTATGATTTTTCCCCTAGCTCAGGAGGATTTGTGACTGGCAGATTTCTCACTGGAATCAGACCTTCTGTAAGTTTAAGACTGCTTGTGTTGATACTGAGATTTATTTAAGTCTTGGTATTTTAATAGGAGTATCTGCAGTTATAATGGACTTTGTTCACCCTGGTTTCATATGAAGCTTTTGAGGAAGAACATAAATTGTCAGTGTTGATGCAGTTATTAGCAGAATGCTGATGGTGTTGTGCTTGTGTTTAGGAGTTCTTCTTTCACTGCATGGCTGGCAGGGAAGGTCTTGTGGATACAGCTGTCAAAACCAGCCGTTCTGGGTACCTGCAAAGGTGAGAGACCTGGTTTAGAATTGGAGCCTTTAAAAGGCCCTTTTGTTGGTTGGTTGATTTTTCTCTTTTTTTCTGAAAACGTTCTGTCTACTGTAAGTGCCTGTATTGCTTAGATTAACTTCACTGTATTTGATTTTTACAAAATAGTCTGAATGCTGTTTGTTGTAAGTACAGTTTTTTAGAGATCTAGATCAACTGGAGCATTACAATTTCAAACTTACTTCTGGCACATTTCAGCAACAGCTTCTCTTTTTGCAGAAATCTTTTTTTCTGGTACAATTAGATAAGTGTACAAGTTCAGGCAGCTCTAGTTTTTCTTGGCCACGTTGAGTGGCTCTTGTCATTAGTCAAGCAACACCTCCAGTATATATAGAAGATGGAACTTTTTAATTGTGTCAGAGGGTAGTGAGTTCTAAAATAGGGATGCCCTTTTCTGTGGGAGAACTGTTAAAGCATGACAGGAGAAATGGAGGGTAATGTACTGTAATTTACTGTTTCATTTTAAGTCAGATGAATGCAAAGAAACTGGAGAGAGCAGCATGCTGAAAGCTTTACAAATTAAGCATTTCACATGAGTGTTGTGTCTATAGGATTTTGGCTTCCAGAATTCCTGATCAGCCCTTAAGTACACTGAAAATGTTGATGAAAACAGTGGGTTTTGTGTTAGAATTGTATTATTCTTGTTGTTTTGTAGCCTCTTAACAACATTTTTTTCTGTTTTTTCCCCATTTTTTCCCCCTCTGGAATAGGTGTATCATAAAACATTTGGAAGGACTGGTGGTTCAGTATGACCTGACTGTACGAGACAGTGATGGCAGCGTGGTGCAGTTTCTGTATGGAGAAGATGGCCTTGATATCCCTAAAACTCAGTTCTTACAACCTGAGCAGTTTCCTTTCATTGCAGAAAACTATGAGGTAGAACACCTAAATCTTAACTATTTATGAGGGGTGAAGGAGAGACTGAAACACGTGGTTAACATCTGGCATATCTGTCAGGGATCCAGTGGCAACACTTGTTTGCCTCAGTTGCTTTCAGTCTAATGTACAATTTTATTTGCCATTGTATTCAAAATATGGAAGCAGTCTGAAGTCTGCAGTGTGATTTAAGCAGCCTCAATTTCAGCAGAGCACCAAGCACTGTCTGTTCTAACTCTGCACTTGAATTCAACAAAGTCTGTCAAGTTTGATTAACTTTTACCAGTATCACCACTGCTTATTATAGACTGGTAATAATAGCATAAAGTTATAAGGATTTTGTCTCAGTTTGGTTGAAAACCAAATTTGAAAATCTTTACAGCATCTTTACAGCAGTGACAGCAGGTGACCTCAGTTTGCTTTGCCTTTTCTGGTACAGTGAGGACAGAAAGAAGAATAATCATACCAAGTACTTTCTTACAGGTAATCCAGAAGACAAACCATCTGGATGAAGCTTTAGCAAGGATGGAGTCTCACCAAGCTAACCAGCAGTTCAAAGCCATCAAAAAATGGCGAGCCAGACACCAAAACTCTGTGCAAAGAGAAGGAGGCTTTCTGTTGTTTTCCCAAAAGAAGTTGGCAAGTTTGAAAGCACAGCTTCCAGGAGGTGAAATAAAGAATGGAAGAGATCCTGCTACTTTACAGGTAACACAGAAGCAGTTGAACTGACCAAGCCCTTCAAAAGAAGATACAGAATTCAGTATTTTTTGTTTAATTGCTCTGTGTATCCCAAAGGGTTTCACAGTCTAACTAAACAAGTTACCTTTTAAAGGAATCATGTCAACTCTGTGGGTGATAAGCTGAGATGTGTTAAAGTCTGAGGGCCCTAGTGCTGGGGAAAGGGCTAAAAACTGAGATAAATGTGTTGTTAGAAATGTCTTTTTAGGTCATGTTTGTGAATGGTTTGGGGGTTTGTTTCTGTTTATTGGTGGGTTATTTGGCTTTTTTTTCCATGTACACAAAGTAAATCTCTCTTGCATGGACAGCTGTCTGCCAGCTGGATGAGAGCCTTTTTGAATATTACAGATCAGAGAGCTGAGCCAGCCCTGCCTAGTTTTTCCAAAAACTATCTTACTTACATCACAGCACTTGTCTCTATGACATGGCTTCTGATGAAGATGGTGTATGGACACAAAATGCAGACAGGTCCTGCTTCACAGCCTTGCTGTCACAAGGAATTTATCCTGGTGGAACTTGGGCAGTTAGCATGAAACTCTGGGTTGAAGGTGTTGAGAGATGACTCTGTGAGCTTGTCTGCAAAAGCTGTTTTCCCTATTCAGAGGTTCATTTCTTTAGCTGTGCTGAATTTGTGTTGCTCTTGACACTTTTTGATAATAAGCTCCTTTTTCATGCCAGCTATGGCCAGGTGAGGTGAGAGTCAGCTACAGGCAAAGGTTTAAGTGTGTGAGGGTTTTCACTCCCAGTTAAAATCATTCTTTGAGGCTGTATTTCACAGTCTTCTGGAGTAGTTACTATGGAGTAGTTAGATAAGTTGGGATATATTTAGGCATGTAAAGAATGTTGAAATTATTTGTCTTCAAAAGTGTTAAGTATCAGAAAAAGGAGAACATCATATTTGTAGCTGAGCACTTTGCTGTGTTGTGTACACCCTTACATTCTGCACAGGTTTCCTCCTTCACTGCTGCTTGATTGCTTGTGGTCTTCCTGTGGATAAACCAGCCAGCTTAAAAACCTCCTCTTATTTTCAGTTGTTGAAGATGTGGTATGAGCTTGATGAGAAGAAACAAAGGAAGTATCTGAAGAAGACAAATAAGTGTCCTGACCCAAGCCTTGGGGTTTGGCGTCCAGATACTCATTTTGCATCTGTTTCAGAAACATTTGAAAGTGGAGTTGAAGGCTATATCAATAAATGGGAATCTGAGAACAGCCGGAGTTACACGCACTCAGCACTTTCTTCTGATAGGTAAAAACCTCTGAGTGTCTTTGCAGTGAGCCAAAACCCAAAATACCCCTTTAGAGCAAGTTTGCTAAAACTGAAAAGTCTTTACCGAGCCTTGTTTCTGGTGTGGCCTTTGTGAATCTAAGCAGAGGGTTTCAGAACGGTTCTTGAAAGCTAAACATGCTTAGTGTGCAGTGGAGAGGTTCTGGTTATCGCTTCCTTCCAAACCTGAATTTTCCATGCTGCTGAAGGTTTTAGCAAAGCTTCTCAGCAATGTATTGCTGTCCCCATGTATATAAAATAATAATTTTGTAGTGATCTTGAAAAACAAAGTATGCTCTTGATGCACCTTGGAGTTAGCAAGGCTGTTAGGAAATGCAAGTGGGAGTAAATGGACTCTCTTTTGACATTCTGGGACTTGGCAGCAGAACTAAAATACAGTTTGGCCAAGGCCCCAGTTCTGTGTTAATGGGCTGTGTTTGTCAGATCAGATGGAGATAGACAATTTTGTCGTTTCTGGAGCATATTTATCTGTAAGCTACCAAAGGAAATTGTCTCAAAGATGTAACTGAGCAATAATTCATGCTTTTCTGAGTTTTTTATTTTGTATGTTGAGATAAACCTCTCATTTCCTGTCTCCAGATTGAAGGATCTGTTGTATTTAAAGTGGCAACGCTCTCTTTGTGACCCAGGAGAAGCTGTGGGGCTTCTTGCTGCTCAGAGTATTGGGGAACCTTCAACACAGATGACTCTGAATACCTTTCACTTTGCTGGCAGAGGTGAAATGAATGTCACATTGGGTATTCCAAGGTGAGAAGGCTGTGTCCTCAATGGGCCCTTTATTTTAGGCACTTAGGTATATAATTGTGCTAGGTACACTAGCAGGTATATGTGTGAATACTGAGGGTGAGCAGTCCTTCAGTGGCCTTGTAGATTTTGCCTGCTCAGAATACTTTAATGTTTTATAATTTTCCAGTTATTTTGGTTCTTTTTCCAGATACTAAATATCTGTGAAGTATATCTAATATCTGATCTCATATACAGCAAATCATGAGTTTATTTGGAATAATGTGGGTCCTTACCTGGCCTCATGTGGGCATGTGGGATGCCTTAGGTGGGAGGGCATTGTGTTGCTTCAGAGAAGCAGAGTAGGGGAAGAAAATACAAGGAAGCATCCATCTGTCGGAAACAGACCTCATTAGTCCTTCTGTTCTTGGAACAATTTATTATCATCTATTCTCATAACTGGGGTAATAATCCAGCTGAGGCAGTGGGGCTGCTGTTGTGCTGTGCCTGGTGAATCAGAACAGAGAAAAGGAGCAGAGCTATGTAACCACAGTTCTGGGTGCACATGGCTTTGGTGGAACTGCCAGTTGCTGCATTCTGCCTGATGAAATAACCTAGATAATGACTTGATTTGCATAGTGCTTTTATGGCTTAATTGGAATGATTGTTCTTTGTTTAAAGGTTGCGGGAAATACTGATGGTGGCCAGCTCAAACATTAAAACCCCGATGATGAGTGTTCCTGTGCTCAATACCAAGAAAGCTCTCAAAAAGGTGAAACAGCTTAAGAAACTGCTCACAAGAGTGTGCTTGGCTGAGGTGAGCCTCCTTTTCAGTGTATCTTTTTTAAGAGTCAGCAAAACAAACTCTCCTCCTTGAGCTCATCAGGAGTTTGCTATGCCATAGTCTTTGGTCTTTGTCTTTTTCTCAAGCACATTTTCCTCTGTCTGTAGAATTGGAGGGATTCTGTTTTGTCTTTGAGACAAGTCTAATCTGGCTGTGATTGACACAGAGCTCAGATAGATACTTTTCCATCTGTCCCCCACCCCTTCCTAATCTTACACAGATGGCTGTGCTCAATAGAAGCAGAACATATATCTCTGTGGAGATTTAATACACTGGGATGTGTTCTGTGTTCCCTCTCTTCCTGGCTGTGCACCCTTGTGCTCTCCTACATGCCCTTCTCCTTCTATTTTTGTCACTCTTGTGAGTTGAAAGCAGTAAGAATCAGGTTAAGACTTAGCTGTGTGCTGGAATATTGTTCTGCTCTGTGAGCATGGTCAGTAAAATGAAGCTGTAGGCCCCCTGAAAATGGTAATCTCTTGTGAAGGAGTTGGGTGGGGGATGAGGCTGTTCTTCAGTATTGTCTGAGTTAATTGTTTGGAAGACTAAGTCAAGAGGTGCAGTAGGGTACAGTCCTTATTCCCAGGAGCAAAGCCTCCAGAAAAGTTTGCCCCTTAGCCTAGTGTAATTCTGGTTTCCTGTGAAAACCAGAACTGCAGGAAACAAAGGAAATGTCTTCATCAAAGGAGTAACATTCTTACTTGGGAATGTTTTGTAGGTCTTGCAGAAAGTGGACATCGAGGAATCCCTGCATGTGGAGCACAAGCTGAACAAGCATCGCCTCTACAAAATCAAATTCCATTTCTTGCCCCATGAATATTACCGAGAGGAGAAGTGTGTGAAGCCGAGGCAGATCTTGCACTTCATGGAAACAAGGTGAGTTTGCTTTCAGATACTTTAATATTTGCTCTTCTTTTGCCTTTTTGTGGGCTTTGCATGTGGTTGATTACAGTTGGTGTGGCTTTTAGAGCAACAGTTCCAGCAGAGTTGCTTTTATGTCTTGAATAAAATTGACAATTTTATTATTCAAGTCCAGTAATGAACCATCTCTTCTGAAGGTCAATTTGATGTGCAGATTTTATATCCAGATGAGTGTATAATTTTATGCTTTGGATGCACAGTACATCTGTGGCAGTAACAGAGCTCATACCAACCTTTTGATTCCTAAATGAATGAGAAAGGGCTGAGAAAAATTATTTGCATTATCCTATAAGTACTTTTGCATCCAGCAGGGAATAATATCCTGTTATGAATTGACTGGCTTGTTAACAAAAATAAATAAGTTTTTTGACAACTTCAGATTTTCTGTGGCACTGCTGAGCTTTGACATTCTGAGTTGCTTCTTCTGTCAGGTTCTTTAAAGTTCTTCTGGAAGCAATTAAAAGGAAGACTACAAAGATGGCATCTTTTAATGAAGTCAGCACTCGGAAGACAACTCGGAACGATTTAGATGATGGCCAAGACAAGGTATCAAAAAACATCAACTGAAAAACACCTCACTTCATTCACTTGTTGAGAGCCACAAATGGATAAGTGTGGCATGTTTCAGTGCACACAAAATGCATGAATACTAAATTACTACTTAAATACTTCATACATAAACTGTCTTTGCATTCTCATAAAATTAACAAGAAAATTGAAGTTTTTGTATATTAAATCCTGATTTGCTTAAGACTGTACTCTGAAAATGCTTGTTAATTTTAGATTCTTTGGGACAAAAGCATATCACTCTTTTTGCTCACAGATCAGGGTCCTGTGGGAGCAGTGGTTGTCAAAACTTTGGGGAAGGTCCTTTGTTTATTGAAGTGCTTTTGCATGTTCCTTCTGCCACTCCTCTCCCATCAAGGACTGTCAAAGTAGAGTGACAGTTTATCCATCTTGTAGGCATTCATCTTGTTAAATGTCGAAGTTATCAGGAGTGTGAGTTCATTTTTTAAAGTAGTGGACGTACAGAAATTAATTTGTAAAGTAGAACATTGAACAAGACATTGTGAAATTCCAGATGTTTGGCTGAAGCCTTTTGATGCTGTTGGTACTGACTAGCAGTCAGCCTGGTGATCTGTCTGTCATGGATTTTTAGACACTGAATAATCTGGAAGCTGTAGCAGAAGAAGAAGAGAACATTGTTGATGCAGAAGCTGATGAAGGGGATGGTGATGCTACAGAAACAAAACGGAGGAAGAACCAGGAAGAAGAGGTAATGACTTTATAGGTGCTCAGCACTGCTCTTTAGTTCCCTATTTCTTCTGTGTTTGACTTGGGAAGGAAAACTTCCACTGAAACAAAATGCTGAAAAAAACCAAACCTCCCTTGAGAGGAGATAGGAAAGTGTCAGTTTTGGGCTGAAGAGTTTTCATTTGGCTCATTTCTGAAGCCTTGTTCTTCAGGCATTTGGGTGGATGTGTCTGGAAATCAGGCTGTGCTGAAGTTTACCTTAACTTTACCTTTTGCTAATTTCATGCTATTAATTGTTTTTAAAACTTTACTATGGTCCTTAAAAAATAGTCTCCCTGCATGTTTCTCTGTGTTTGGTACATCATAATTAGCTCTTAAAAGATGGAGTGCTGTAATTTCAGCAAGAGGATGGGGTAATTGAAAATCCTGAGGGAATCCCATCTTCAGAGTTGGATTATGGGAAGAAATTGGACTTTCTCAGGGAGATCAAACTAAATACTGCTACAGTCTCAACATCCTGTAGCATCCTGGACTGGTCTGAGAAATTATGGTAAGATTATGAAGAAATCAAGACTAAACTGAATCTGTTGTATTATTTTCTTTGCAACAAAATCACATTTTCTTTGTGCCATAGGGGCAAGATCCTTGCAACTCAGCAGTGAAGAGCATTCCAGAATTAAACTGGAATTTTATTAAATTAAATTAAATTCATGGTGTGCTGTGTCTCTGTACAGGTTCTGGCTCAGATAAACATAATGTTATTTCTTTGCAGGTTGATTATGAGAGCGAAGAAGAGAATGGGGAAGAAAACATCAATGAGAACCCAGAAGATGAAGAGGCTGAATCTGAAAAAGAAGAAGAGACTCCTGGTGCTGAAGAAGATCAGAACAGAGCAGAGGGTGAAGATTCTCAGCATCTTTCCTTTTTGTCTCAGACTAAAAAAGGGAAAGATCGATTGCTTCAGTCAGCAGAGGTGCGAGTGAGCGCTGTTGTGGAGAGCCACCCCTCCATACAGGATTACACCTTTGACACCGAAAATGAGCTTTGGTGTGAGGTAAGGTGGTACATCTCTGGGTGGTTGCACAGTGGTTGCCTGTAGCTACCATAACAAATGGTTCTTTTCAGTGCAGTGCTGCTGTTCTGTCTCAGCAGAAAGTGGCACTACAAATGTATTTTTTGATGTAATTTTTAGTAATTTCTTATTTTCAGGATGCCTCATGTAACTTTTTCTAAGAACAATTTTTTTGACAGGTTTATTGTGTTTTGATCTTCTAGTATATGATGGTCAGCTGTGTAGCCTTTGATGAATAAAAGCAATGGCTGAACTGTTAAAAAATGTAAACATCTTAAAAAACAAATAAAAACCTCAACAAGCATGTACCTGTACCACTCCATAAAAAAAAAAAAAAAAAAAGCCATCCCAAAAAGCTGTCTTTGTAAGTTCAGAGACCTCAGAAGCAATGTGGATGAACAATCCTGGGATGGGGAGTTCACATGACCATCATTCACCTCTAATTCCAGTCAGACATTTCTATTCCTTAACACACAGTGAGGATAATTCCATTTGTCAGCTTTTTGCCTGAAAAGAAGAGTGCTGGTTATTGAGCCTGGTGTTCAAGCCTCCTTACACTGTGTTGGTTTTTTCCCTTCAGGTTTCCCTGGCATTGCCACTGACCAAGGTGTACTTTGACCTCTCCTCCCTGCTGGGGTCCCTGGCGCGCAGCACGGTGATCCACGAGGTGAAGGGCATCACACGCTGCCTGCTGAACGAAAGCACCAGCAAGGAGGGAGAGAAGGAATCTGTTCTCCAGACAGAGGGGATAAACCTGGCAGAGCTCTTCAAATACTCTGATGTGTGTAATCTATTCCGAATCCCAGACTTCAATGCTCTTTTGAGTTCTGGTTGATGATGGATGTCATTTCAATTTCTCAGGGGTGATGTGTAGCATTTTCAGCTCTTGAACTGTCTTCCTCCTCCTTTTTATCCCCAGATGTATTCAGGGGAGCCTTTTCTCAAGGGCAGCTTGCAACTCACAGTTTGTGCAGCAGCCAGGGCCTAATGACAGATGATTTCACACCATTCTTCTCTCTCTTGTCTCTCTAAATATTACTTGAGGGAGTTCTTCCATCTCAATGAATTGCAGTGCTTGGAGATGAATAGTTCTGTTATCCCATCTAGCCCATAGCTCTCCAAATACAGGATTGTTTTAAGCTGCATCTTCTCTTTTGCTAAAAGTTCTGGCTGGCTGAGACACACTGGGCATTGCATTGTGTTGTTTGGAAGACTTTAACTTGTTTTGCTGGTGTATTTTGTTAGCTTCCTTTTTGTGATTTCAGTTGATTTTCTCCTGTGGTGAATTTTGACTCCAGTGCTCCTATTCATCTATTTAATGCTGCTTAGCACAAATCCTCAGAATAATTTTTCTCTGTGATTGACAACTAGGCTGCTGCCTAGTTATTCTGTAACTGTTGGTTCTGCTTAAGCTCATGAAGAATGGAGGAAAAAATCTATCTTAGCTTAGCTTAAGTTATTTAGAAATACAGAGCAACTGTTGTCCTAACCTGTATCTCTGTTTTTTCTGCTTTCAGATTTTGGACCTGAACAGACTTTATTGCAATGATATCCATGCCATGGCTAAGAATTATGGAATTGAATCAGCCCTAAGGGTGATTATAAAGGAAATAAAAGATGTATTTGCTGTATATGGTAGGATTTCTTTGCATTTTTATAGTCTTTAGTACCATTAAGATAGGAAAATGCAGCCACATGCTTTCAGTTGTGGTTTTACGTGATCTTTTCATTTATGTGCCTATTTTTAGGTTGCAGGTTTTCATTGTTTTAATGATTTCAGAGTCTTCTGTGAAGACCTTGTTAGTTAATTATTAGGCTTCTTTTAATCAGTAGAAAATAGGTGAGGTTGAATTTATTCCCCCTTCACAGAGTTCTTCTCTTCTGGTATATTTTTTGCAAGCTGCAAGTTTCAGACCAATTAATTATTAATGTCTGAGGAAGCCAACTGTTAGACTTGTGCAGTGGCCCTGAGGAGAGGATCAATCTCGCCTCACTTTGCCTTTTTAATGATGGGAACCTAGGCTCCTGAGTTTTTATATCTTTCCTAAAATAGCTGCCCTGCATTATCTGAATGTTCTTCTCTGAGATAGATGATTCAGAGAGCCCAGCCAGGGGAGGCTGCATGACTTCATAGGCACTCACTCACTGGAGTGGAGTCTTGCTATGAAATAAACTATTGAAAATAGGGAAGATTAATACAGTGGGAATTTTAGCAAGCAGTTATAGCAAACAGATTTGCCAGCTGGCAGCCCAGAATGGTCTGACCTTCAAGTTGTTCAAGAACTGCTCAGTAAATGTTGACAGAGCTGTTAATGACCCCCATTACACTAAGTCCACAAGTGTTATTTAGGAATAAATGCATTTTTTTTTAGACTGAACAGGATTTTCTGTGAATGCCTGATGTCATGCACAGAGGACATCAGAGCCTTTCTGACTCTGGGGCCCAGCTAATCCAGGGCACCAGGTGAGAGGCAAGAGCTCTGTCCCTCCCAGATGGATGGGCGTGTGATCCCCTTCTGTGGAAACAAGGATGGTGCAGCCATTTCCTGATTTTATGTAGAGGAACTCTGCTGCCTTTCAGCATTCTTGACATTGCAGTTTCCCATTCTTTTCATTTCAATTTGGAGAGATACTGTTTTGTATTAGAGTGAGGTCTGCCTCTCTTGGTTATTTGAGGGAAGCAGTTAAGGCAGAGACACACTGCCAGAAGAATGTTAATAGAGATGTTCTCCAAGCTGGTTGGATCCAAAGGGTTTATTTTAGACCTGATTTGTTTAAAAACCCTACAGACTTAGCCCTTGAATGCTCTGATGATTGGTCTTCCTTGTGTTTTAAGGAATTGTGGTAGACCCTCGACACCTTTCGCTTGTGGCAGATTACATGTGTTTTGAAGGCTTTTATAAACCCCTGAATCGCATTGGAATTCAGTCCAACTCCTCCCCTCTGCAACAGATGACGTTTGAAACCAGCTACAAATTCTTGAAGGATGCAACCATGATGGGTAAATGGTTTAGTTTGAGATCTCTTGCTGCAGCATTTCATATATGCTTGGTTTCTGTCATAACTTTCCAGTATTTTGAGTAATCCATAATTGTATTAGAAAAAATGCCAGAGGCAGAAATTTTAAATAAGCCCTCGCCTAGGAAAATGTTCCAGATGTTTTTAGTAAAATTCTGTCAGCTTAAATAAAGCCAGCTCCCACATGTAATCTGTGGGGTCTGTGACTCCTTTCTTTAGGAATTAGATGGGCATTTTTACAACAAGCCTTAAGCTTGTTAAGATTTGTTATAGTAAAGCTTTATAACAGACTACTAAATCTGCCTTTTTCTGTCTCTAGTATTAAAATTGTCTTCTCTGCTTTGTTTTTGTGCCCATGTTATAACTTCCATATCTTTTCCAGCCTTGCAGTTCAGCATTTTATTTTGAGAACAGACCTGGCTGTAACTCTGATTTAGCACTTTATCTTTGCTTTTTTCCCCTCAAACACAAAGAATCAGATTCATTTGTCTAATGGTAGGTTTCTGGTGCCATTTGAGATTCCCAAGAGTATCCTTCTGCCCTCTAGTTGCCTCTCTGGAAGGTGTAGAGATCCCATGGCTGTGTGGATCATTTAGGATGTTTGGAGCAGCACTAGCCATCTACATTTAAGGCCTTCTATCAAAAAAACCTCATGCTTTGAGTCTGTCATTTGACAGCTTTTGTGATTTCAGCCTTTGGATACTAATTACATCTCTCTTTTGCAAATTTGGTTTCTGTCACTTGCTAGTCAGATGCTTGCTTTGCAGATGCTGCTGTGCTGTCCTAACAGAAATGGGGAGAGCTCTCAGTATGATCTCTTCAGCTCCTGTCTTGCACTGACATCAGAAATACTTCTATCACTGAATTCCTTTTTGCTAGTGCTGGTTTATACCTTCTCTGGGAAGGAATATTGAGTTTTAATTGATAGCATTGATTGCAATTGACTCAATTAATCTGAAAATTGTGAAGGAAAAGTGTAAATCCAGGGTGAAATTAAAGAGGAGGATGTTTCTCACTCAGTTTCACCCTCTGGATTTTTGTTGTATCACATACTGACTTAGAAATTAAATCAGAGGAGTTTTTTGCCAAGTGAAATGCAATGTATGGATAATATTAAGAATAAAGGCATTCATTGCACGCTGACAGAAGGGCAGGGTGGTTTGGCAGGAACTGCACTGATTACAAGCAGAGGGAGTTAATGATTTCACCACGCTGGAAATCAGTTGTAATGGGGATTGCAGCAGCCTGGATCTAATTTGCTTTAATGTAACTGATAACTTGATTGTACATTTCAAGAGACACTGTGAGGGTGCCCTAATCAGCAGGAAGGAAAGGAGCCCTGGAGCCCTGAGCAGCAGGAAGGAGAGGAGGAGGTTTGTGAGGATGGGCACAGCAGAGGTGAGCAGGGCTGGTGGAGCCCAGGCTGCTCCCCAGGGCTCCTTGTGCAGGGAGCAAACTGCATCAGCAGAGATCCCCTGGGCTGTTTGCTCAGAGAATGACTCTTTGTTAACATCACATGAGCAAACAGGGCAGCACGACTGTCAACCCCCTAACAAAGGGGCTTTTTTTTCTTCAGTTGACACACATTTAGGAGCAGCTTTTTAATTATCCAGCTGTAGCTGAGATCAGAGCAGTGAGCACATGCCATACACAGTGCTGCCTATGCTCCTGCCCCCACCCTCTGCATGATGCAAAGTTGAGTACATTTTGCTCAGTGGAAGAAAGATAAACTTAGGAGAAGTTTAACAATTTTATTTCTAATTTTCTACTGCTCTAATGATAAACTTTCAGCTTTCTGTAGTTAGGATAAATGAAAAACAGCCTGAATGCTTACAAAAACAGTGGAAGTAAAACAACCCTCAGACATGTCATCTGGCGTACTTCCAAATTTCTGTGACACTATTTCGCTACAGTGAGTAACCACAAAATCAGAGGAATTCATGGAATGTCTCTCCAGTGAAAAGTTCTCTTCCTATCTAGCCAGAGGGATTTAACATACACATCAAAGGGATTCATGCTAACAAAGGAAAAAGGCAGCAGTGACAAGGGAATCTTTCTGGTTTTGCCTCACATGTATTTTTTAGTGGCCTATTTAGTCACCAGGATGTGTTCACTGAAAGGCCAAATCTGTGTTCTCTTAGAATTCAGGCTGTTTTGTCTTTCCATATGGAATCAGGAGATTTTAGTAATGTGTGGCCTAATTACTTGCTTGGACCAAAGATGGGAATGCGATAATAGCTGTTGTGGGAGGATTAGAAAAGAGTTCTGTCCTCTAAACTCCCAGAAATCCCAATTCAGTGTGAACAGCAGGTGGCAGAACCTTTCTGAACCTGGGGGTGCAAAGCCAGATGGCTTCTTGCACATAAACCAAAATGGTTTCTTTCCACACTGACCTTTGGGACCCTCCTGATAGGATTTTGTTTGAATTCTGTTGCAGGTGCCCACGATGAGCTGCGATCCCCTTCGGCCTGCCTGGTGGTTGGAAAAGTTGTCAAAGGAGGGACTGGCTTGTTTGACCTCAAGCAGCCCCTGAGATAGAGTTTTGTGGTAACTTAAGGATCTGGTTGAAATGTTCATCGCAAGAGCTGCATGTGCCCCACAGCTAGGCAATGAGGGCACTTGCTGTGCCTCCAGATGCCTTTCCTGTGCCAATAGGTTTCTTTATCTGGATACCCAATGAGCCTTATCTATTTAATGAGTACAGGAGCTATCTTTTGATCCAAAGAATCACTTATTTACAGTTCATCAATGTAAAAAAATGAGGTTGTTTGTTTACACAGAAAAGAAGAAAGTGCTGGAGTCGGTCTGGGTCTCAGACTGTGCAGCTGTTCTGGCAGGCAGAAGTGAAAGCAGAATCTGTTTATGCTGTCTGACTTCTGTGGGGGCAGAATCCCATCAGGGTAGTGCCAGATGCCACGTGGCCATTAACATGGCAGATTTCCAGTACTGGAAATGGCATTCCAGACTGGCAGGTGTAGCTGGGCACTGCTGTGCTGAACCTCAGCATCTGTGCTTGAGGCATTTGCTGCTCTTTTGCTGCACTGATATGAACTTGTATAAACTTCAGAGGATACATTTTACTACTCTGCTCCTTCATTTATTAAGAAGAATGTGTCTGTGACACAATTCTTAAATTTCTTTTAGCTGAAGAGTGGAATTCAGAGTTTCCACAGTTTCTATAGGCATTTTCCAATGCTCTTTTAACTTCTTTGGGTAGAATAGATCTCACACAGTGAGAGATTTGATTTTTGCTAAAGATTTATTCCTTAAATGCCAACATGAGCTGCTGTAGGAGCGACTAGGCGAAAGACTCCTGTACGAATTACCAAAACAGAGATTATAAACTATTTTTGCTTAAATATTCTGTATCAAAGAGGATATTTAATAAAATAAATACTCTGAATGCTGTATTATGTGGTTGTGTTACCAAGGGGAGTTCACTTTTAACTCTGCTGGCTGTTAAAATCATGTGACCCAGGGCTGTTTGCCACTCCTTAGAAATCAGACTCATTTATATATTCTATATTAATCAGGATGCACTGCACACAAGCAGCTAAAGCTCTCTGGAGTTTGCTTACTGCCATCTAGGCAAGTTTTCTAACAGATCTCAGTGCCTGATTATTCTCACTGGTACCCTGGCCCCAGTGGGAGTGTTGGAGCAGAGGAAAGCCACTTCCACTAGGGCTGCACTGAAGGGGATCACATCAGCTAGTGGCAAATGTTGATTTAGGATTGTGAAAGAGCCTCTGTGGAGTCTCTTGACTGACTCTGTTCTGCCTCAGCCCCTTAGAACTGTGTCACATGTCCTGCCAATTGCACTGAAGCTTAACAAATGCGTTAACTCAGCAGGTGTCCAGTTTCACTTTGGAAATCCCTGGGAAAGATTTTCTTGTGTCTTTCTCCAGTCTTAGCACCTGTTTTGTAGTTGTCAAAAACATCATTCAGCAAAGAATCCTGAGAGGTTCAGTTGGGTACAGTTCAGTAAACAGATGGGAAAGAACAAACATTGTACAAAAAGGCTTTTACTTCCAGGTTACATCTGTACTGGTACAGACTGTTGAGGGATCCACAAGACATGTTCACAATCCTGCAGTGAAGAGCATCTGTGCTACATTTCCTGTCTGGAGATGTGGCATCACTTGGTGCTGAAAACAGTTTGATCTAAATAGCTCATTCATATTCAAGTGAAGTGGTTACTCAGTGCTGCTCCCAGTAACACTGATGATTCTTTAGCTAGAGCTATTTGGAAAATGGGCTCAGGCTATGGCAGGATGATCCAACTTTCCCTTTCAATGTTGAATTGCCTTTAAAATATTGGCATAGACCAGGATCCAAAACCTGATTCTGGTTGTACAGATTAGCACTGTAGAAAAGTGTCAAACACAGTATCTTAGATAGAAAAAGGAAGTAGGTGGCTGTTTCTGTTCATGGACAAAAGTGATAGGGGAGAAACACGACCTCAGATGAGAGGCCATCTCTCCAAGGCTGGGGAAAGGTACATATTTTGGCATATAAATGGGCTTATTTTATACTGTGAAGGAGAAGCTGAGGTAGCAATTGATCTTAATCCCTGGTGTGAGCAGATTGTCTTTGGGATCATCTAAACTGCCCTTTCTGAGAAAGGAATTTCAGTTTGCTTAGAATTCATGTGTGTGCAGAAAACAGCTAGAAAAAAGTCCTGCTTCGTGTGGTTAGGTACTTTACTTTCTTTTCACATCCCATGAACCTCTGTTGCATCTAGATTTTTTATTCTAAAGTGTTTGTTTTCCTCCTTGTACTCATTGCTCTCACTGTACAGTGCTTTTTGAGGAAGTATGATCTACCTACCCCCAAATTGTGTTAAAAGGCTGCAGTAATGGCTGGGGCTCTTGCTGCTTTGTGATTATCTGCAACAGACACATGAGAATCACTTTTGGCACAAAGGACCCCAAAGAGGGAGCAGTAGATGAGATTGTGTAGAGAGGAGGAGATCATGATTGAAAGGCTGGAAGAATGGAACCATCCCTTCTCTTGGCTGTCTGCTGCACTTCAGGGTACCCAGTGCTGTGAAAACATGGGAGGAACAAGAGAAGAAAAAGCAACTTCCAAATTTTCTCCCTTTCTTTATGTCCATGAATAACAGTGGTTGATCTGTCTGGAAAACTAAAGGGTATAAGCTTGACTGAATGTGTGCTCCAGGGATGGGCTGGTGAGTGTATGAAGATATGACAGCTCGGGAAGAGGATTTCTGAAAGCGGTAATTAGAACTCAGTTACTCTGACAGAAAGAGGAAGCAGTGATCCTCATGTGCTTTGGCAAGCAGGGCATAAGCTGTGGGTTCTGTCCTGCTTGTACAGATGTGCCTGTGTGTCCTGTGAAGACAGGCTGAGAGCTGGGACTGTTGGTCTGTAGAGGAGGCAGCTTTGGGCAGCCCTTGTAGCAGCCTTCAGTACTTAATGGGGGGTATAAATAAATGACAGTGATGCTTTACATGGGCAAGTAGAGATGGGATAAGAGGGCACAGTTTAAAAGAGATTTACATTAAGTGTAAGAGAGAAATGCCCTGTGAAGGTGGTGAGACACTGGATCAGGCTGTCCAGAGAAACTGTGGCTGCCCCATCCCTGGAAGTGTTCCAGGCCAGGTTGGATTGGGCTCTGAGCAACCTGATCTAGTGGAAGGTGTCCCTGCCCATGGGAAAGGGTTGGAGTGACATGAGCTTTAAGGTTCCTCCCAACCCAAACGATTCTGTGGTTCACACCCACTTGCTGGTGCAGATTTGTTACCTTCAAGACAGAGATAACATAGGTTTTCAGTGTGTTGGTAACAGTGAATCAGCTTCTATTTGCTCAGGAGTTGGAATGCACGCTATGTTTAAGTCCAATAAATCATAATAGAAGGCTTGTTTTTCTCAGTAAATGATTAAAAAATCCTAAATTGGGCAATGAGAGTGGATACAAACAGGAATCAGTTCATCTCAAAAAGCAAAGCAAAGCTAAATATTAGAAGACAGGGAGCAGAAAAGTTTGTTTTCCCAGGTCACTGGTTCCCATGTTGCTATGCTTGTGTAGGTCAGTAACCAGGCAGTGGCCACAAAACAGCGCCCAGAGATCTTTAATCACTCGGAGCCTTTCTGGACAAACCACTTGATGCTTGCCAGTAAGTGCTGAAATCTGGAAGCAGCCTCATCTGCTGAGGAATTTGGCAAGTGGGAGAGCATGTAGCAGCTCAGGGACACTTCCCACAAGGTCAGATTGTGGTGACCAGGCCGTGCTCCAGGACGTGGCTGGCAGCAGGCGGATGAAGCCAGAACAAAAATCTGTCTCTGGGATTAGGTCAGATGGGAGAGTTTGTGAGGACTGCCTTTAACGGCTGAGATCCAAAAAGTGTTTTGAAGGTTTTGGTGCTGAAAGTGGCAGTCGATCTTTGGGGTGGATGTGAAGGTGTGAAGATGACTGCTGTGGGGTCTGTATCCCACAGCTTCCTGCATGGTGACCAACTCCCTCAGCCAGAGGGGAACAGCAGGAGCTTTGTGCCTCGTCAGTCCCTGCTTTCTTTGCTGTTTTTTATAGCATGGATGATGCTTCAACCTAAAGATCCCTGAGTTTTGCTTTGTTTTGTGCATAATAGAACTAAAAGAGAGCAAAGGTGAGTTCTTTGGCAGTGCACCCAGGGAAGAGACAGTGACCTGTGTCTGGTCATGCCAGTTAGCCCAGGCAGTCACTGGGGACACAGGAGCCCTGCTCCGGGCTCTCTGCAGTGCCCTGAGGGGCTTCAAACCCCCCTCCTGAGTGCACTAACCACCACGACTGGAAAATTTCAATTTTCTTGCTCCAAAACTCCTTGCTGCTGCTGGAAATAACACACTGTTCACAGGGACAAGGGCAGAAGGAGGTCAGCTCCATTCCCAGAGGAAGAGAGGGGCAGCTAGAGCTTTCTTGGAAGACCAGAGAAACCTTTCTCCTTGTGTTTGTGCAGCCTCATGCTGCTGAAGAGAAATCCTGCCTCAAAACAGTATTGCAATTAGGTCTTTTCCAGGACTTAAGGCATTTTCCTGTCATGAGAAAGACAGGGGTGGTAAGTCCTCAGGGAAGAGAGCTCTGAAGCCCTGTGAGCACTGCAACCCCCCAGCTCCTTCAGCACCGCCTTTCTGCATTAATTCTGATTTACAGAGCAATACAGGTTTGAGGAGGCCTGAAGATGCTCCCAGTGGGAACTGAACACCAGTACTGTGATACCCAATCCTGGATGCTGAGCTGGAGATCCACAGGGGTGCAATGGGATGCTCAGAGGGCTGTAGGCTGGGAAATGGAGGTACCTACAGAGCCCTGCTGGCTGCAAGGTCAAAGGGCAGCTGATCAGCATTTTTCAGATTGCAAAATTGATCAGGGAGGCATCATTAGAGCATCCTCCATGGGGGCCTGCACTGCTGAGCTGAGCTGTCAGCCAGAGCCATCCCCACAGTCAGTTCCTGCTCCTGTTACACTGGATGCCACACACCCAGGATTAAGCAAGCTGCTCATTAATGATGTTTTACAGTTTCCTGGCTTACATCCCTCAACAGAGCTGGCTGTCCAAACTGCCCTGGAAAAGTTCTAGATCTGATCACAGAGATGGAGAGGATGTAGAGCTGTTCCTGCTTTCCTAGGTGCAGCATGCCCTGCCAGCCTTGGGAAGATAAATGATCCCCCTCGGTGGAGCTGCTTTGGGGCTGGTGGGGCTGGTGGCTTGGTCTGTAGTAACACTGCTGCTGTTGTTTGGGTTTTGGAGCACTGCCTGGCACTACAGACAGAATAATGGGTGATCAAGAAGTAACAGTGGAACAGTAATGCAAACTGCAATAAATACAGAGATTCATTATTAATGGGACATTAAAAACAAAAGGGTAAGTAGAGCAAATTTTATGCTGGCAGCACAACAGCTCTGCAGAAAAATCCCAGGGCTGTCCCTTAAAAAAAAAAAAAAATCAATGCTCTGTGCAACATTTTGAGTTCTGCTTTCTGTTATACTGTATTTGTTCTGCCTGGGAGCCTGGGTTATTTCTGGAAAATGCAGAATTTGAGATGCACTTTAGCCCTAGTAGCCTCCTGAGTGTAAAGGCTACAAACCAGAGTAGTGCCCTCAATCAACTGTGACTTAATGGATCTTTAATTTCGGGTTAAGCTACAGAACTGGATTTTACAGGAATGGAAAGACAGCAGAATCTGAATTACTGCTTTTGCAAAGCTCAGGCAGGAGTTTGAGGCTGGACCCAGACTGGTACCATGAGGGGCAGCAGCAGGAAGGGCTCATTTCATCCCCTCTTTGCATAAACATTGGCACCGAGGACAAATTTATATAATTTTACAGTAATTGAAGCTCAGGCAGAAGCTTTTGGCTTTGCCTCATGTTTTGGGGTTGGTCCAGAGCTCTGGGGAGTAAAGAGC